AGCCTCTTGACTGCGTAGATGTTAGTGTTAGATTTCAAATTCACTTACCGAAACACGACAACTTCGCTTACGAACACACACATACATCTTTAAGTATTCTATTTGTCAAGACTAATGACGAACTTTTTATCTTCTTATTTGTAAGAAACAAACAGTGGAGCAGGATTGCGGAATAAGAAAACTGTTCGTCTTATTACGAGGAAAATTTTACCCGAGACATGATAAAATAATTTTGCTACGCATATTGACTAATATGTTACTGCAGACAAAACTTCATTTTTAGGCTTTGGTAATCTGATGTGTTCAAATTTCAAATCCCTTTCCGAACGGCGAGTAAATCTCCCAGCATGTGGAAGGCAAATTGGCGACAAATTGACATGTAATCGCCGCGGGCAGTCACACTTTCACAACTTTTATCTGGATTTAAACATTAGGGGTCTATACGATTTTTTAATAAAATTTAAATAAATACGTATTAAATAGTTCTACACGAGATTTAATTGTATTTAATAAACATGTTGATCTCGAAAAAAAATTTTAACAATATTTAGCGATATATTTATATATACATTTAGTTTTCTTCTTTCTTCCGGTGATTTTCTGATTTTGTCAACAAAGCGGTATTTTTTCAAACAGGGGCGACGTATGTTGCCACAATGCATAAGTATTTTAGCATATACATGTAAACGTTCATTTTATAAATTGTATCAAGGATTTATATTACACGGATGTAATATAAATCTGTGATTGTACTAACTGACATTGATATTTGAAGTAACTGATTCTTTCTTAACATCTTAGTTAAGTAAACTGGAATTAAATAAGCATTATAATGTAAGAACCAGGCGTTTAATTCAGTTCAGCTACCCAACATAACCTACTTTAATATCTATGCCTTTCGTCGTCCAAGTCATCCCCCGTTGATTCGACACTGATAAGATGGAAGCGGAGACGCATTGCTTATCTCATTATCTTTTCTGTGTATGTCTGTGCCGCGCCGATAACTAATTAGTCAGGCGACACAGTACCCTCCCTGTGATTGGTGGAGATAAGGAAGATGAAAAATCAATAAATTTAAAAAGACTGCGTGATGGTTCACCAACTCCATCATGAAGATATTACGGATATTCCTTCTACCTTCTACGGATGTTAAGTATGTAACATTTATATTATTATTTTTTAATATTATTTTTATTATTATTATTATTATATTTATTATTATTATTTATTATTATTATTATTATTATTATTATTATTATTAGCGGTGGTGATGGGTCGGTCTATTTACCCCAAGACACCCCAAGATACCCCCAAGACACCCCAAGACTACTCTGGGACAGAAAGATGCACATTTTTGTTAAACTTATATATTGTGTATATTGGGAAAGTGTTATTATATACGACAACTGATTACTTATGTGTCATCTTGTTAATTACTGTCTTATATATCAAATATTGTTAATTATGTATGGACTTCTTTCATCACTAAAATATTTATTGATATGCTCTTTAATATAGAAAAAGAAATATGTAAATTAAAACTAACTTTACTGAAACAACAAGACTATTTTAATCTGTTAATCTAATAAAAAGTGGGTCAGATGAAATAAAAAAAATCAATATTATGAAACAAAATATGATCGATTTAATAATCAGGCATCAACATTGTGTCACTCATAAAATGACATTATCGCAGAATTTAACTTGCTGAGTTGCACTTCACCCAAATCCCGCAACATTGGCATTATTTCATTGTTGTAAACTATTTTGCACAAAAAAAAGAATATATTTATAATCTTACATTAAAAATACAGTGAAATAAATGAAGAGAGATTTTATGTGACAAAAAAGGTAAAATTGAGACATATTTACATGTCAGTAAAAGTGTCTTTGTGTGTCTCGACGTTGTCTTTGGGTGTCTTGACGTAGTCTTGGGGTGTCTTGACGTAGTCTTGGGGTGTCTTGACATAGTCTTGGAGTGTCTCGACTTTGTCTTTGGATGTCTCGACGTTGTCTTTGTGTGTCTCGACGTTGTCTTTTGGGTGTCTTGACGTAGTCTTGGGGTGTCTTGACATAGTCTTGGAGTGTCTTGGCGTAGTCATGGGGTAGTCTGGGGGTGTCTCGATGTAGTCTTGGGGTGTCTTGACATAGTCTTGGCGAAGTCTTGGGGATGTCTCGACGTTGTCTTGGGGTGTCTTGACGTAGTCTTGGGGTGTCTTGGCGTAGTCTGGGGGTGTCTTGGGGTAAATCGACCGACCGGTGGTGATCGCTTAATGAGGATCCCGGAAATGATATAAAAAATAAAATATTTTTATGGCCTATATTTAAAATATGTGTACTTCACCTTTATTAGGAGTCTGAAGTTTATATAAATTTTTATGACAGTTATAGTGTAACGTATAAAATTGATGATAGATGATATGCATTTGTATTTTATTGATAACTCCATAATAATCATGAACTAAATTTTTATACGTTATAGAAAGCAAACATGAACTGTAGCAAATTCTATTTCTAATATTGTATATACTGTGTTAGAAATGATAGCAAATCCTTCCTGAATTTACTAAATATAATGTAAATACTATTGTTCAATTGTAATCTAACCATTGCAAGTTCATATTTTTGACTGTTCGGTCAGTGCCAAACAGATAAACATTTATGTTTGTTGGTCATACATTTTACATGTAGCATAAATTATATTGTTGCTGATGTAAGACTTATTCAGGATAAAAAGTTCTTAAACTATTTGATCTACTGGACGTATAAGAAATAGATCACAACATGATCTCAATTAGTGTATTGACCACTTCAAGTATCATTAGAGTGTTTAATATACCGATGTGTCATGTTAATTGAAAGACGAGAACGGCACATGTGGCGCCCCTTCCATTCCAGTCATTTTGAAAAATAGTTTAGTTAAAAAATAGTGCTTTGTTTACAAACATGACTATTGTCTCCTAAAGAAAACAAAACAGAACACAAAATCACGAATCATATATAACTTAAATAATTCTTCTGCCAGAGCTGCAATAAAATTAATCGAAATCGAAGAAAGTTTTTGCTTTTTTAATATTTGCTATGTTTAATAATTGGTTACATGCCTAATATGTGTATGTTATAAAAACATAGTTTTGCTACAATTTTCATCTATGAATTTAAGCATGTTGACAGGATTATTGATTGATTCTTTTCATTATTTTTTTTAGAATTTATAAGCGTTTCTATGTTCGTTATTTTTACCGTTCAATAGTTCTTAAAGATTTAACTTATTAAAATTTCTGAGTTTATTCTTCTTAAAAAATAAATATAATGTATAATTTTTCATTAACTACTGAAGGAAGTATTTCAAGCCTTAGCGTAATAAAAATACAAAAGCACTACCTTTAATTAAAGTACGTACACTGAATACACGTCTTATTCATAAATTTCAAGTTTCATTATTTGTTTTAGTATAGACCATTTCATTTAAGACCGTATTCAAGTTGTCGCCCTTGGATGACGTCATTGGGGGATACTGTGGACAATGCCGATACGATTAAGTACACTAATAGAGGGATATAAAGATCTTAATTCTTTCTCTTGTAAGATCGGCATATTAAAATTGCCAAAACTTTGTGTAATTGAATAAGTTATTACATAAAAAGGATGGTGAAATGAATAAAATGTTTACTATAATAAAGTTAACGATTTGTTTTAATAGTAGACCATATTGCTGGGTAACTGATCATGATGATTCTTAATAATGAAAATTTTACCAGGTAGTTAAATCGTACTAACTTGCTAATACCAGAGATATAGATAATGTATCTATGTCTCTGCTAATATACAATACCCAAAAGATATTCTGTAGTTTCGATAAATAATTGCAAGATACTGGTTTATTAAAAATCATTTTGATTTAAGCATTACTATGACAAAGAGATACAACAATATAAATCTATGTAATTTCAACAAAAATAAATATGGAAAGGCATAAAAAGTAAAAATTATTTTGAATGTACATGACTGTATACTATTTGTATCGGCAAAAAATGCACTCTCAAAAAAATCGTTCTTCACACCAATATATCTTAGCTGGTAAAGTAATATTTTCAACATTCATACTCTGCTTATCAAATATTTTTTAAAAAATCACAAAAAAAATACAAGTTGTGAAACACGTACACAGAAATTTGTTATTTTTGAATTATAATTTTACGTATTTGTGACTGTGCCAGTTGCTAGGACCTGGATCGAGTATCAATCATCAAATATCAAATATATGTACCATGTCTTGCGAGTACAAGCACATGTTACTTCTGATCACTGTATCCTTCTTGGGAGTCTATATATTTTATGTTGTGTCTTTCTTGCGAGTACAGGAAGTAGATATGTTTATATACTGTGAATATCTAGTTCAAGGGATTGTGAGACAGGGTTACAAATGACTCGAGCATTTCACTCATACATTTACTAGTATTGAATTAAAAACAATTGACGACAAAGTTCTTACTACTCTTATGTATTGTAAAAACCTAATTAATTTCAGTAACTTCACTAACATTTAATATTTAGCCCTAAACAGATCGGCAGTGTAAGGGTTACAGGGAAACATGAGATTTATTTACTGCCTGATAAAAACAGTTAAAGTTATGGCACCAAAATAAAGCCCTGAGCAGCCAGTTTACGGGAATTTAACATCTTGATGACGCAACAGGGCTTACGTACTTGTACCAGGGTTTAGATAATTATTAAGACAAATTTCTGATATTCCTAGGTACATGCTAAAATGTCCCGAGTGTTATAGACATACGTGCATTTGGCAGTACGAGCGTTAAAATGTGCAAGCTTTGTCGGTTATATTTTGCACGTCACAATCATGGATTTTCAACATGTTGAGATCACTGTTATTTACTTTAAGCAGCTGCAGCATTATTATACCAACACATACGTATTTTCGTTTTATAATTTGCATACACTCTAATTATATAATAAAGTGAAATTTAATTAATATTTTAATTGCAAATGATACTTAATTTATGAAAATGAAAATATCAAAACTGCAACGATAGTTTTAAAACATACCTTTATGTTAGATACAGTTTGGAGATAAGGCGATGGACCTCCACATTGGAAAACCGTTTTTCATTACATTGGCATGTTTATTTCAGTCACTTCTCAGTCTTGGATTAATTAATGGATTCAGTGTAATGTATGCTGAACTTATAAGCGTTTTCAGTACCTCAAGACTTATCAGCGCTTTCATTCAAGGCATTTTCAATTTCGTTGCTTTAGGAGCAGGTAAATCATAGTTTTTTTACTCTTCATTATCCATCATATTATGGTCTCATTACAATTGCGTATCTTTTGTGGATGAAAGGTGTTGGTGCGAGGGGGCAGCAAACACAACGCCGAAACCTTGTTCCATAGCATTGATTCATTGTTTATCATGTTTTGGTTTGCTGTCGCTTACATGAGTAATGAATATTAAACTGTCATTTATATTTGTCTTGATGTGATTCAGGTTTATGCTTATTTTGTGTAAGACATGTTTTGCAGTTTACGTGATTTGCCAATTTTGATAATAAACAATGTTCATATTATCAGAAAATACGGTACTGTCGCATTTTCTTTATTAAAGAGCAACCACCTTTATATGTGCCAAATATTAACATCTGGTCATTTCCAACATACTGAAAAAATACGCTTATATGTTGATATGTTTTGACTTTAAAAAAGGTGGTTGCAGTAACTCGGCGTGTATATTGATATAGATCCGATCTAAATCAACGGGTTGAACTTATAGAGGTACGATACTTTTTAAACGTGTTAAAACGGTACGATACGGATAAACCCCAGGTAAACTTTTGCGTACAGTTAGTTTTTTTAGCAAATCACCATGCGTACAGTGAGAAATGTGGATATATGTTATGGATATATGTAAATAATTCGGGTTTTTTTTTTCTTGCATTTTTGCATTTAGTTTTGCTATTAATAGTAAACATGTTTGTGATATAACTTACCAATATTTGTTTCAATATATCTGTTACTGTATCCCTCTAAAAACAATAACACTTAGGAAAGGAAGAATATTCGATAATTGAATATTTTACTCTGACCTTGTAAAACTAAAATCATGTACCTGGTTACTATAGTTATAGAAATATTTATTTTGTAGCAGCTCTGAGACGGTGGACTTTCATGAAATTGTAGCAGATCTGCTACAAAAAAGATACAATGCTATGGAAAACTTATGTCAAAATAAGTAAATAAAACTTACTTATCTTCATTTTTTATTAACAAATTTTCATTATCAATTTTATAAGAAAAAAAAACCAATCTATAATAAAAGAAAAAAACAAGTTCACACAAGATATGAAACGAGATCAAGTGCTTAAATCTTTGCTTAAATATTGTAGTTACATATCACTAGATAAGATGATGGAATTGCTAAAATCTTTAAATAAATAAGCTAATTAATTAATTAATCAATTTACGTATTGCCAAGGGTAAAAGAGGCAAAGTATTATCCACTAAAATTGAAAATGAGTGACTTTTCTTGAACTATAACAAAACACCAAAAATAAAAAGATTTTAAGAAATAGACATACAAGCATTTCTTCTGCATAATGGGCCTTTAAGTCAGCCAACAGTAAAGCGCCTGGTTAGGCTCACGGATATCAGTGGGGAACTGCTGATCATTTAAAGACGAGATATGCATACATGGCATATAAAACAATACAAACATGTATCAACACCGCACGTTGGGGTCCAACGCACTTTGGGGTCCGACCCAACAGTACCTTACCTAATATGGGATCCGAACCCAAAGTGCTTTATGTACTTTGAGGTCAATATTGGACACCATAGTGCGTTACACAGATATATGTGCAATTTGTAACATCAGACAAACGACCGTACTTTGGGGTCATAAAATAATTCAAAAAAATGAATTTTAGTGATATTTGAACGTAATATAATGTACTTCAATACGAACGGACTAGAAATAATTAATGAAGTGGGTGAAATGTATATCTAGCTGGATCATATAACAATAGCAGACGATTTTACTTAATTCTGTTATATCTAAGGATTGCATTTTTTGCCATCAAAGTATTCGGTGAAATCTCTATTTCAAAATTATTAAAAAACTATAAAAAAAACACTACAATATATTATAAATAAGAAATAGTATCTCAGTCCTTAGTATATGTAATGATACTTCGGTTTATTACTGGAAATAAAATATGTGCTAAAGTTGCGTGGCAAACTATTATAGCCCTAAGAAGCATATTTGCTATGTATAGAGCATTTCTGATTTTTCTATAGTAAAACTCATCAGCAGATGCATAGATAAATTCTTAAATTTTATGAAAACAACAAACAGATAATACAACACCTGTTAAAATTTTATATTTGTGAGGCCATTTTGACTTCTTTTTCAATTGTACAAATGGCGTGTTTTTACTAAAGGGTAAGTAACTGTGTAAGTCCACCACTGCATATGAAGGATAGTTTTAACATAACATTTGAAAGGATTGTTCTTAACATAAAAAATATATATACGAGTATATATATGATTTAGGTTGTGTGGCATATCTGCTACATTGGACTCTAGAGGGATATTCTTTTAATATGTATGTCATGTTAACGTTGGCATTGGAAGTAACAAATAACTCCTTAATATGAAATATGTTCCTTAAGTAATAATTTTTGAATAAAGTATCGTACCTCTATACGGTCGACCTCTTGTTAATAGTTTCACCGAATATCTGTCAATTTTCACGGAATCTCTTTCTTTTTTCTTTGGAAAATGGTTCCGAAAGTAATTTAAGTTGAAAATACAGTTTTTTCTGGTATTAGAAATCGTGTGTACTTACAGCATTTAATTGTCAAAAAATATCTGATTTTTACACGATCCTTGTTTGCGACGAAATTTTTCAAAAAACGCTAAAGACCATTATGACATTTCAATGTATTTGCGGGATGTTTTTGTTTTTTCTTCTCCTATTTGTTCTTTTGGCATTCTTAAGAGATTCATTTTTCTTTGCATTTGTGATATCAAAACATATATAACTATTCGATTTAGAGTTATATTATATGTTCAAGGTTTATTGTGGACATGGCCTATCCGACATCTAGGACTTGGTTTGTCAATGTCTTGTGGCGCGGTACTCTCATGTGTTGGATTTGCCGCAAGTTCATTAGCTCGTAATTCTGAAACAATCATATTTTCAACGGGACTAGTTTCTGGTAAAATATTTAACCAATAAAAACTATCGTTAAACTATTGCTAATAACATGTGTTAATGATTCAAGAAATTTGTTTTAATGTTGTTGGTTTTTTTTGTTTTTTTTTTGTTTGTTTGTTTTTTTTTCTTTCGAAAATTTAAATCGATTTAGCCAATATCAACAAGATTATATTGTATTAACGATGAAAGTGATTTGCTAGAAAAGTGAAAATAATAATCGCTGATTGTTTTGTGTTCAATTATTTAAACATTAGAAAATGAAGATTCTTGTTCAATATGCACGGAAATTGTAATCAAAACAATACAATTACATTAACAAAATAGTTTTGTATTAAAAAAAACATTTAGGTATTGGTCTTTCCATTGGCTATATGGCACCGTTTGCAGTGGTAGGTTCGTTATACAAAATAGATGCAGGGTTACCGATAGCCTTGCTGACAGTTGCAGGGAGTTTAGGACATATGGTATTATCACAGGTCTATGGAGGTCTTCTTAACTACTATCACTGGTCTGGGACTTTCATTATTCTAGCTGGTATTGCTCTCCAAGGGCTGCCTTGTGGACTTTTTATTCATTACTCAAAGGAACTTCTGATGAATGGAGAGGAGTCAGAAGTAAAAGTAAAAGTTCACAAAAGGCTGAACAAGGATCCAGTGATTTGGCTGTACCTAACTATTATCGTTCTTATTGAAACCACAGGTATATAGCAGTTGTTTAAAACCATTTTTTTAAAAGGTGTTAGCAACGGATCAGGAAATAAGCTCTTTTAAGAACTTATTCATATCCAATCTTAAACATGAATTTTTCTGAGGCAAATATTAGAGTCTTTTTAGTTGGAAAAATATTATTACAAGTAAATTGTCTGGTAAAAGTTATATTTTTAGACTTATTATTTTTCGTTATGTTTATTTTTTTTTCTCCAGCGACCTTTGAGATATGGTTCCTTGTAGATCAGATGACGTCTAGAGGTTATACTAAAAACTTTGCAACATCATTACTGTCTGTGTTAGGATTTGCAAATCTTGTAGGGCGTATAATAGGTATAATGGTGAAAATGAGAAAACATTCATTTCCAGCCGTATATTACATGTTTTACGTCTGTCCTATTCTGGCAGTAGGGCATGCTTTGTTCATATTACTACAGACACTTCACAATTGGATGTATGCTGCTTGTACAGTGTATGGTGTCGCATTTGGCCTTATTAATGTCTTTTTACCGGTCATTATGTACGATTTAGTAGACAATGATATGTTTCAACAAGCAGTTTTACAACAAAACTTGGCTCTAGGGACAGGAACTCTGATAAGCAATTTTGTAGGAGGTAAGATACTACTTTTCATTATTCTGTATAATTCTTCATTACTAGTATTATTTTTGAATTCAAGCTATTTCGAAAGTTAAATAACTTACCGTTTTTTGTTAATTTTGGTTGATAGATATATTTTTATATTTTAAACCACCTTCCACAAAGGAAGAAGGGGATTATAGCAATGGCCTCCGTCTGTCAGTCCGTCTTTCCTTCAGTCCGTCAGTCCGTAACACTTTCGTATCTGCTTAATAACTTTTAAACTGCTTATTTTTGTGTCGCCTTGAAAAGGTGACATATAGGGGTTACTTTTGTCGGCGGTGTCGGCGGCGGCGGCGTCTGTGTCGGCGTCGTTGTCGTTGTCGGCGTCGGCGTCCCTTAAAGCTTGTCCGGAGCATAACTCAGTCACTATAAGTCTGATTTACTTCAAACTTGGTATGCATGCTTCTTTCAATAACCCGAAGTGCAGTGCACAAGGACCGGTACTCTGCAGTTCTTATTTTTGAGTTATTGCCCTTTGTTAATTTTCATACTTTAATTTTGTCCGGGCCATTTCTCTTCAACTAAAAAAGCTATGGACTTGAAACTTCATAGGATGATAGGTCTCATTAAGAAGAAGTGCAGTACACAAGAACTGGTACTCTGCATTTCTTATTTTTTGAGTTATTGCCCTTTGTTTATTTTCATACTTTAATTTTGTCCGGGCCATTTCTCCTTAAGTATAAAAGCTATGGACTTGAAACTTCATAGGATGATAGATCTCATTATTAAGAAGTGCAGTGCACAAGAATCGGTACTCTGCATTTCTTAATTTTTGAGTTATGGCCCTTTGTTAATTTTCATACCTAATTTTTGTCCAGGCCATTTCTCCGAAAGTATAAAAGTTATGGACTTGAAACTTCATAGGATGATAGATCTCATTAAAAAGAAGTGCAGTGCATAAGAACTGATACTCTGCATTTCTTATTTTTGAGTTATTGCCCTTTGTTGATTTTCTTACTTTATTTTTGTCCTGGTCATTTCTCCTCAAGTATGAAAGCTATGGACTTGAAACATCATAGAATGATAGATCTTATTGATAAGAAGTGCAGTGTACAGAAACTGCTGATCTGCACTTATTATTTTTTTAGTTATTGCCCTTTGTTATTTTTCATATTTCATTTTTGTCCTGGCCATTTCCCCTAAACTACATTGTTCACAAGGCGACACATCCGACTCGCGGAGTTCTAGTTTTATAATAACTTGGCACACTAGTGATCATCCGTTATGACAAACATGTGCAGAGCACCACTATCAAGTCATTACAATCAAGGTCAGGGTCACACTCATGGGTTTAATGTTTAAACATCTATTTTTCATGTCCGCTCAATGAAAAGATTTAAAATTACTTGGCACAAATGATTACCACCATGATACAATCTGCAGAGCACAGCATCTAGGTTACTACCCCAAAGTTACATCAGGTATGCTTACACTAAGGTCAAGGTCACACTTAAAAGTCAAATGATAGAGTCCATATTTTCCTGTCCGCTCCTTAACTTTTTATTTACTTTTGATTTACTGAAAAGAGCACTTTCAGGTTGTTATACCCAAGGTCTAGGTCAAACATAATGGTCAAATGTTTAAATTTTGTATGTTCTTAATAAGTTTTAAACTAATGAATTTTCTTAATAATATTGGCTCACATGATCACCATCATAACCTACAGAGGGCAACCAGTTGGCTATTCCCAAGATCAAGGTTATAATATAACAAGCAGTCTTGTAATTCTCACTTGAATGATTTGTAAAACATGAGAACAATAACAAATAATACAATAGAGTCACAATCAAAGTATTGTTAGTTAATATAAAACTAAAGCCTGATACAACCAAATATGCAAGAAACTTGTCAATATGTGAAGTCCAAAATACCCATGGTTACCAAGACCTTAACCTCAAATTTCAAACAAAATAAGAGGATCTACAAAGGTATCTACCTTCTAAATATGGATGGTAATCGGTCAATTTGTGATGAGCAAATGTGCTTATGGTATGAATGGTACAACATTAGCGTCATGGTTGGTTATAGGTGAAGAAGTGCACATTATTTACGCTGCGAAGGGGATTTAACTGTCCTTCAGACTGTCTTGTAGTATTTTGTCCTAGTGTTTATGAAAGACATTGTAATAATCTGTCGACTGTTAACAAATTTTTCAAACAAAAGTATATCCAGGCTGACTCTGTTTAACAATTTGTACCTGTTATTTCAAGCTACTGAAAATTTATTCCTTCTGTTATTTCAAGCAACTGAAAATTTAATCCTTCAGAATAACTTTCCATTGAGTTATTTAGTAATTTCTATTGAGTTAAACCTCCGAGTTTACTTATATTCCAGGTAGTTTAAGAGATTCCTACGGAGAATATGACATTGCATATGAGCTTGGAATTGTTGTATCTGTTCTAGTAACATTTGGTTTTATAATTATTGTCTATGTGTTGAGAAAACGAGACAAGGAGAGAAGGTGTTTTATTACATATGATTCACAATGTGCACAGTATAAATCATTTGATTAAAGTATTTAAAACATAAATTTTTCATGAAATCACTTTTCATATTCATTTTATTGCTTTTGTTTAAAAAGAAACACCTTTTACATTCTTGTATGGTATGATTGCGTTATATAGCATTTTAAAATCACGTTTTGTATTGATACTGTTGAAAAGGCTTTGCCGCTTATCTAAGGAAACTAATAAATGAAATATATTTGTACAATGAATATAAGGTTTTATAGATTACATTTACAGGTAAAATATGTTGATATGTTGGTAATATAAATATATATAAATTTTAAAAAATGCAAAGATAACTACTTTCTTTTCTTTTGAATATATGTAATTTATAAATATATCTATGAAAATAAGATATAATATTATTTTTTCTATTTTAAATGTAACGAATAAACTAATGTGTTCGTTTTTCAAGTTATTCATTCCGTGATGTATTATATTAGCCCTACCTATATCTATTCCGATACAAATTATATCTTACATAGATTCAGTTTTAAAACAATGCGATGTTTACTGCCATGTTTATATAGTTTTTTAAATAACGTTTATTCATGTAGTTATGTAGTCAATTTAAGCTTTTCATTAAGATTAAGTTCACAAAAGAACAAATATAAGAAAGAAAAAATATTCAAATAATATTTTTTTACCGTATTTTATTATCAGACACACATGTTTTCCCACTGATTTAGAAATGATCGATGTAGTACATTTGAATTTTAATTTAATATGGGAGACAACTCGTATCGAAACAAGTGTTACTCAATAAACATAATTGTTTCCCTTCAGCGCTAAGAAAGCTTTGTATATAGACCCAGAATAGACGCATAAATAAGTTGTTTTATCCCAATGTTTTGATAACCACTACTGACCAGTTCACCCATGGTCTGACCATAAGTGATAAATGATTTTGTAAAACCATTTTTATATTGCGTGATAGTGCTTCTATTACAAAATTTAGTATTTTACAATATAATTGCTTATGGCAGTTTTTAAGACGAAGTCAGTAGAGGCTATCAAACTTTTAGAATGTAAAAAGTATATTATAATTTTGCAATCAAATGTCTCAAATAATTTTTTAAATAATGACAATGTACAATCATGTCATCCTATTGCAAATGATTTATATGATGTAAATGTTGAGAATGTGAATACGTAAATAAGGGAGGTAAAACTTCAGTATATATTATACATTTCTATAATATGGATTGTGGAGTTATCCCTCTTAGTATTAGCTATTATACAAGTCTATTGTAATTCTTTCGAGAATTGCTATATGCAATTGCAATGTTTTAAATGTTTTACATGTATATATGTGTATAGATGAGACTATAATAAAGAATAAAATAATGTATTAGTCTGATTTTGTAATTCCCCGAGGTCTTGACAATTATTTTCTTTACACAAATCACATTTCGTAGATTAACAAAAAAAAAACACCCCCCCCCCCAAAAAAAAAACAAAAAAAAAAAAAAACAAAAACAAAAAAACAAACCAAACTTCAAATTAAAAACTATGTATTTGAGCAAATCTCAAGTGTGATTTTGTAATTATTCCTAACAAATAACGGATACACGTTTTATATGTAGAAAATTACAACACGTTTAAGTTTGAACTAGTCACATGATGTTTTTAGCTTTATAAAAATCCCGATTTGTTTTTAAACAATTACTAAGTCCAAACTTTTTAATATAACCCAAAACCAATAGGAAACCATTTGAAAGACAACATTTTCTTTTAAATAAATGTGTGCAACATATCATATCTTAATATAGCAGTTCATGGCTGCCGGTTTTTGTCATAATATTAGGAGAGAAATGATTCGAAATTGTTTATAAAATGTATGATAATAGGTCAGTCTTTGATTCCTTTATTTCTTTTAGAGATGACTCTCAGTATAAGAGTGGTAAAGATGATTTTATGTATATCTATATATACAGGTGTGATCTTGATTTGCATCATTATTCTTAATTAAATTACATTAACCATTGGTGTTTTGTTTTATTTAATTAACAATTTTCAAGACGTCTGTAGTTTTAATGGTGGTTAGATTTATCTGTAACAATGTATACACGTGTTTATGACATCATTATTGTGTACATAGGTCTTTTTAAAACATTTAAACATTTGAAGTATTGATTGAAATAAATATTAATATTTTTTCTTTACGTTATGTTAATTGCCTTTAAATGATATACGGAATAAAGAACACAGAGCTGGTATTCACTTAATTTTGTTTGTTTAATCATTTTAATGAAAACATATATTCTTTTACAAGTATAAAACAAAATGATTTTAGTCCGTTTACAGGCTTTTAACATCACCATGGACAACAAAATCTTAAATGTTTGATATCAAGCTCAATTTTACTATATAAAGTAAAATAGATTTTGAATTATTTGTAAACTCAAATTGTCCAGTTAAAATAGATAATGTATGATACAGGTTATGATTTAAATTGTATTTTTAGGAAATGTGTCATATATGAGGAAAGTTCACACATCATGTATGTAAACGTTATTTAAAATACCAACATAGTACTGACACAAGCCGACAGGTTAAATTGAATGAAATATTTACGAAATCATCACAACAAAACAAACAAGACACAAAGAGGAGAGATAAATGGTTTATATCAATTTGGTAAAAAATATTGTCGTAATAATTAACTATCACGTTATATTTTACCGTTTTACCGACAACAATGCTGATTATTTGCAAATAATACTGAGTAAAAAATTGAATAATAACTACACAATGTTGAGGTTATAAAAACTGACATTCTCGTTGTTGATCGCTAATTGATACACGTAGAAAATGTTACACATCAAAGTTATTACGTTAGCGACACCAGATATACTGTGATTAAGTCTAAATCTCCTGTAATGTTCTGAATATTCTGGATCTTTCTTTAATTCAGTTTTATCACAATATCCAATAACATAAGCTACTCCCGACGATTTCTCGATATCAAATACACTGATCATAGCATCGACAATTTCTGGTGCTAGAAAAAAAACTGTTGATGAAAGTTGATGCCACACAAACACAAAGCCCGATAAACTGTTGAAAGAGCAAAATAATCATAAGTTATGTAGACATTATAATATATGTGCTAACAGTGAAATGTTTACAAATTGTGATTAAAATATTTCGATTATGAATTAAGAAAAAATATCAATGCTAAAAAGGAAACTTGTATAACATTTTATACACGCTTAATATACATTCCTAACTATCAACTCGTTATAAATCCCGGAGCAGTGTTAGCCATTTTGAATACAGTTTCTAATTTTGGGAACAACACGATCATTCGGACAAATACTGTCAACGAATTATGGCTTGTCACATGAGCATGCGCTGCAAATGCTATTGAAACACAAGGATTTGGTCAAGAATCAATATTCAATATTCAGAAACGCGTTCCAATTACATAAGCTAACTTTATCTACCTGTATATGATAAGCTAGAATAAAAATAATATTGTTTTGTTTTTAGTTGAAAAGGATATACATACGATATACACTTCAAATTATTTAGTGCATTAAGAGTGTCAAATAAAACGATTACCTGTTTTGTCTCTGATGTTTTCATCGTTGCATAGGGGTGTAATATAACATACGTTATTAAAGTTACACACGACAAAACCAATGTTATAGCAAAATAAAGTGGAAACATCCTGCTTTGTAGATGACCAAACATTATTCTGGGCAAACTGAAGAACATTGCAAACCCTGAAAAGAAGAGAATTAAGAAAATTCAGATTTTTCTTTACAATATTTTTGATTTGTCTAAAAATTGAAAGATAGATAGATAATCTATTCATATAAGACGTGTACAAAATACACATGGTCACAAAATACATAAACAAAATCATCAAAGTTTACAATATTTATTAGCAATAGTAGCAAAGTGTCATACGATGATACAAATACATATTTGGACTGTAGTATCAGTACATAGAGAATGAATGGAAATAAAGTAATATCACAAACAAGATAGCATTTTTTTTTATAATTATATCTGATGATTCGGTTGATTTTATTACCTGCGTTTAATTGCTTGTGATATAAAATTTTCAAACTCTAACAAGACCTTTTTCTTCTTTTTTATCTTAATAAATCGATATATTTGTACATGCTCGTGTCTTTAACATAATATTTTGGTATGAATATGTTTCTCAAGTAGGAATACTTTTTGCATGTGATAAGAAAATGAAATTCGTCTTCTATGTCATAACCACAGAAATAACATAATCTTTAATGTCTGGGTTTTCGATTACGCCCATGTATAAAAGGTTCTATAAATAAATTATGCGATGACCCGCGCAATCTAGTTATGATTTTTAAACAAATTTATTTTATCATAATAAAGTTATCAGATATGCTAAAGTTAGGTTTTAAATGCATGTACAAGGATTTCATTATTTCAGTTTTCTCAATTTAATGTTTGATTGTCTTGCAATTGAAACACACATTACACACAAAGCATACAGACACAAACTATCTCACAAATACAGATTTCATGAATTTGTCATAAGACTAAGTAACATTAGCTTAATTTACCTGCAATAAATGTTACCCAGCATTGTGCCCCAAAGTGCGCGGCAAAACTAAGGAGATGTACAAATACAACGGTTGTAGTTTTTGTTCCCTGGGGATTACTTGTTCCTACCACAATCGAAGCTATCAGCACTACAACTACTAATAGCGATAAGTACTTTCCAATATTTGAACTGTAAAAAAACAGAGAACAACTTAAAAGAAAAACAACAAAAACACTAATGCCCGTATTTTGCTTTACTTCCGTTATTCCGAATAATTTAACGAACCTATTTTCAAATGGTTGTATTTGATACGCATTTATGCATTTAAGTACAATATACTTGTTCTGCTATTTGTTGCATATTTGTTCCTTCAACTTTCGTGCAGATAAATGTTTTATTTCCTGCGTTTATATATTACTTAACCGTATGAATTATTAATTAAATGTCAAGATATGTGTGCCGTTACTACGATTTTATATATCACATTGCACAAACTGTAGTGTATGATGGTTGGCAGTATTGACGACCCACACATTAATTGTTTTACATATATCATATTAATATAATATGTTAGACGAGTATATAAATATTATTAAGAAAAAAATGCAAATTATACTAACCATGACTTTCGTGGAGCACATATACTCTGTTGTCGATTTACTTGTGTTGAAGCTGTCACTTTTAAAACCATTCCAACCACTGTCGTATTTCACTTTATTAAATAGCTTACAAGTTTTTCTTACATTAAATATAAATGAAACTAAACAACGTTTTGATTTTGAAACGATATTAAGATTTAATAGATTAATAGTTAAATAATATAACGCTTATAAGCGATTGCGATAACAGTTGAATAAGTGCTGAATATCAAACCAGTTCAAGCGATTAAATAGCAAAGACTTTAAATAAAACTGTGCTATTATTAGATGTGATGATGAAATATTAACGCAGCTGTTGACCTTACACGCTGTGCAACAACTCACGTATACATCGAGGTTAAAAATTTAAGCTTGATTAAGAGACTGATTACTTTCTGTCTAGCTATCAATCCCTTTTGTTGTATTTGTAAACTTGACATGTTTAAGGAAGATATTAAGACAGTTTATATTACAGCGAATGAGATAAGTGCATTGAGTACGTAATTAATCCTTCCGCTAAAGGGTTTAAACCAATAACAAAATGAAAGAAAGTACGAGAATTTCGAAATATTATATTTTGTAATATCTGTTTGAAAATTAAAAAAAGTGAAAGAGAGGGATAAATAAATAACAAAAAATATTGATGCGCTTAACAGAAAACAAGTAGTGAGTGCAAGTCAATGCAGTTATTGGCAAATAAAATAGTAACTGTTGTTCTTTCAAAAACATATGAATATACAAATGGTTGTTCCAATCACAATGTCATGCATTAGCGAATAAATATAAAAAGGTCTTTATTATTTCCTTATCACATATTCAATGAATATATTAAAGTGGATTGAGCTACAATGTGGACATTTTCTATACATTTTCCAGATATTGGTGACAACAGATTTGTATTATTTGGTCACTCTTATTAATCAAAGCACAGAAGGCGCTGAATTTGTTTGGGTCTCAGAATGTAAGAAAGGTACATGTTGTGAGATTATATGTATAGTGCCACCAATGCTTTCCAGCGTTTTAATTGTAGTAAATTGGCTATAAGACTAAAAGTAGATAATTTAGCGAAAATCTTCTCGCCCAAACAGTCCGACATGTCGAATCTATATATTCCACTACTCGGTTGTGTAGTATTCGGTAATCGACATCGCTAAAAATAGTATTTTCATTGATAAAATCATATTCATCCGCGTAATTTGTGATTGTGCATTTATTGACAATTCTATAAGCCAACGCTATTTTTAAACTTTGAATGCGTTGTAATTTGTTGGATACTTGTAACAAAATAAAAATATTTCTTTCTTTTAAATCGCTAGTTTTAAGCTGTTTTGAGAACTACTTGTTGTTAGGTTTGTCGTAAACTTCTGTGTCAGAGATTGAATGTCCGCTTTGTATTTACTTATTTTCGATCAGAAAATACAATAAAACAATATTAGAAATCTTCGACCATTCGGGAATTATTTTGCTTGAAAATTAATGTGCCTGTCTTTGACCATCTTTACGCAGTGATCTCCCCTGAATTTTTCGGCGTTAGTGTACATATAAAGGGAAGTAACCGCTTCAAAAAAGTGGACTTCTTTCGGCATTTGCAATTAACAGCATTAGACTCTGAAATTTCGCTACCATTATTTGTTTGGTCTGACGACCCAAACAAATAAAAATTGCTTGGAAAGAATGATGATACGTTCTAGTTTATTTAGTATGAACACTTATATGCGAAATATTTATATTTTGTTCCAGAACATTTTATTATCTGCTAAATAATTTTACGTTATATCGGATAATATATCGCACACTTTACAACAACATCAAAAGATAATTGTTTCAATGTTAAATGTTATGTTTCATACTAAATACAATCAAGGTAGTTTATGTATAGTACATTGTATTGCAGACCTTCCATTGTAGACAAATTCACTCGCGTACACTATCTCCAAAATAAAAGTGTATTCGTGAGTCCTAACGCATCTGCTTTCAGGTAGATGGATATTCGTGATTCTAGCCACGCAATTTTCAGATTGTAAACGTTATAAATATCTGGCTTCAATTGTGCAAACTATCGTTCATTTGCATTATATAGCACATAAAATCATGACAATATTATAAAATAACCAACTTGTAGTAATTAAGAAAAAAATCTTGCAATGCCCTCTGTTAATTAAATTTTAATACTTGCTCGACACGAACTCTAACAGAACAAAGTAACTGTTTAAATCAGAGAAATTGTTAAACATTGTTAATAATTCATAGCAAACCCTGTGTGTACTTAACTAATAAGATAATTGCGGAACAAGTGTGACCATTTTTTACATTCATATCAAAATCAGTTCAATACTTGTAAAGCCTCGAGATAGTTAAAATAAATGGTTTCCGTATTATATCCGCCTGGCGCCTGCCATAGTGGTAGGAGATGATAGGTACGTGGTATCCAAGCAAAATATGTCTCATAAGTCAGAAATGGATGACTCTTTCAGTAGGGGTGATACTATAATAAACAAGACCTTTTAAAAAAACGAAAACTGCTTCACTCTCTTTAAAAAATGAATGTTATCGATACATTCCGAAAGACATTTATAAAAATATCCATGGACCACGTGCATTATAAAACATAACACATATAATCATGGCAAAATACGCTTCTTTAGTTTCTATACTTTTCTTAAGAATTTGTCTTCAATAACAATTTGTGTTATTTTAAATCCATTTTACAAGAACTGACTTGATATATAAGTCATATATATCTTCTATTTTAAATTTCCCTTATATTTGGTCAGCAACGTATATAACTAATAATCAACATTACTTCAAGAAATATACGGTTTTTCATTATTTTTCGTTCCTTAAAACTGTTTATATCAAAGCATTTTAGTTGAATGTCAAAATTGTGTCTGATTCATTAAGAATTGTATTTTACTTTAAAATTTGCTATTAAGTAACCGAAAGTTCCTCTTCTAGCAAGTAGAAACACATTATGTCGCAGTATTGTATATTTCACTTTTTGCAGTCATCCTTGTAATAAATTAAACAATTTGTGCTACGATTTCATGCTTTTCAGTCGCACCATATTCATTTAAATCGGTTCTTAATAGGTTTTTAATGATCATTAATGAATGTTTATATACATCTAAACACAATAACACAATGCATCTCAAAGGCTCCACCGTTGTCATCGTTGTTGATTTCATGACTGTAGTAGATTTTTTTTACATCATTTCAGCTTCTCGTATGGGACATTTGTTTGACCATGCATCATACGTCTATGCCGCTCCTTTCTTTTCTTAATGACAAGCGCAACAACCCCTGTAGTCAGACTTATGTATATACTCACCCCTGCTGCTATGTAGAAAGCAAGAACGTAATCCCCTAGTGTATCTTTTATATATCCTGAATTATTACAAAACATTTAACGTGTTAAAACATAATGACATCTTTCATATTGCATGTTGCATAGATTATCAAAAACAAAAATATCTTTTATTAAATGAAGGTAGATAATTTGTAAAAACATAAAAAAGTGTTAAATGTACTTTGAAATTCCATAATTTAAAATCAGCTACAAATATGAGACCATTATAATTATTATCATTTTCTAATGTAAAGGAAATTATTTCAAATATGTTTATCGTCTGTTAGAAACATATAAAGAACATATATTTTGCTAAAGTAGAAGTAGACTCGTCTTTCGTTCGTTCTCATCTTTTATATTCAAAATTGGTTATTGAATACTCATTTATACAGATGCATTATACTTTCTAGACTAATTACGTTTTAAAGCGGCCTTCCTGCAGATTGACTTATGCAAATTTTCATGACAAAATTGAAACTGTATTTTGAAATAACATATTGTGAAATGAACATAGAAAGTGATTTACACATTTAAAACAGCATTTTTTAAATCAGTCATTTCTCACACAGAACATTAAAATATTACATGACTCTTGAATCAAAAGATTAAAAATCTACATTTGTAAGTTTGGTTTTCATTTGGTTTGGAAAGTTTGAAACTTTGAAAAGTTTGGTTTTCTTCTTTTTTTCCTTTTTTCGTATTTTTGGTCCATCTGGAGGCATGCAGCTTTAAACCAGATTACATTTGTAATATGTATGTATTGATAACATCGCATACTTATGTTAAATATATTTTTGTTCTAATGATATACCTCCAAGCTGCCCACTGATTAAATTAGCAAGACCAAACGAGAGATTTGCTATGGCCATTGCTTGTGGGTACTTTTTTAAACTGGTAACCTCGAGCATAATCGCTGCAGGTTGTGCCGCCATTGCACCAAATGGAAAGCCATACAGTATACAAACAGCAAATAGTCCCCAATAGTCATTTACATTAACTACTAGAACATGTCCGATAGCAAGTAGTGGGCTAAGATATATCCAGTGGTTCAGAGACGGCATGTTCCTTAAATTAAAGTATGAAAATATTATAAGAAATACATATATGAACTTTTTTTCGTGGATCAAGGTAAAAGAAACAGTTGCGATATAGGGTCACATTCATTTAAGTCGTGATAAATATACATTTGTATCTGTTTAATTGTCTTTCTTTCTTTTTTTTCGTTCAAAGCGAAAAATAACATAAAATGTTAATACGATCCATATCTTTACTAATTCTAATTTTGTGAATAATTTGACGTTCTTATATCCTCATTCTCACCTGCGCTACTTTGCCAGAGAATGACAGAAGCCTTTGGTGCAGAAGTAATCGGAACACATTACGGGTACCATAGTAGATACGGCTTGATACTAAGTTGTTAATTTAGTATTTGTACGTGTCCATTTTGAAGTGAAACATGCGAAAAATTCCAGTACTTGGCATTATAGTGTCGTTCAATAGAAGGAAATGTGTTGTCCAATATAGATCTATACAAATTAATGTCGGACCAATACCCCCAGGGGCATGCTTAAAATAACATTTGTAGACGCTACACGGTGATACTATATGCATTTATCTAAGTTCTTGGCATTATACATGAAGATTCACAAAGTAACGCCATTATTAATATGTTTACCTATATAAGTCTATATCTGCATAGTGACTCCCAGGATGACGTCAAGTCTGGTCTAAGGACATTATTTATGAATTTGTAGAGGATAAAAAGGTGATATTGCATGTCAAATTATGTCATGAGCATTGTAGCTAAGAATTGGAAGATTTAAAGACGCTCAGTGACGATTTTCAGACAAGTTTACTAATTCTTGTATATAAAGACACTGACATTCAGAGCTTGGCATTATGGCTAAACGGTTCATAAAAGGTATTTGAAAGTGCAAGATACCGTTCATGCGGCCTCCTAGCACAAGCTAAAGCAGAGGTCAACAATTAACAAATCTCGATATGTTTTGAATTTAGAAACATCTGCAGATGTGTTGATATGGTGGTTAACATGTAGTCTTCAATGTGACACAACATTACAATTCAATGGAGAAAAGCGGCGCATGGTGGCTTAATGATGTAATACATGTACACAAAATATACATAGGAAACCAATAGAACATTCCAAGGGCTTAAATACATTTTTCAAGAAATGAAAACAGGTTATCAACCAATGCTAAGAAAATGCTAAGTAGAAAGAGTTTCACAAACAATACAATATCTTGCTAAACGATGTTTAATGAACCTCAAAATAACATCTCTGATTGAATGGAGGCGGGTGCAACTTGGCACAAACAACTTGATGTGGCAACAAAAATAAAGAGAAAAAGAGTCCTTGAAAAAAATGTCATATCTGGCAAAATTGAAAAATTGCGTCTGTGCAGTGGCGGTACTAGAAAATGCAATAATCACACACACAAAAAAAAAATCTCTCGAAGTTTGATCAAAATCATATTTGTCACGAAGGTGTTGTTTAAATGATTATAGATAACGACGACCGTCGAACGTATGAGAACGGACACATTGCCACACAAAAAAACGTCAAATCTGAGGACTTTCTACGGTGTACAAAGAAAAAATGAGTGATGCAAGCACTGATAACTGAAAGCAATGTTTTTATTAAAACAATCGTAAGGCAAAAGATAATTCTAAATAAGATACTTTATGTAAGTTGATACGTACGTGCATTTGAATCTAACGAAACCTCCAAAAATCCGACCCACAACATTTGCAAATCCAAGTGCAGTTATTAACAGTGACCCTGATTCTCTGCTAAAGCCTCGTGATATTGCAAAGTCGACAAGAAACCACGCCTCAAAATTACCTATAATATAACAATATGATTTCAGGAATGCTTTGATATTGAAAAAGATTGATAAATGATTTAGTCAATTACGTTCTCTTAATACAATGTATCTAACACGTGAAAATCATGATACGTACATTTTTAATTAAAGTATCCGAATAATCACAAAACGCACATTTTGCAAGCAAAAAAAAAAAAAAAAAAAAAAAAAAAAGATTTAGTTTGTCAGTTACTTAGTAAAATACTTTTATACAAATGTGTGTTTCGTTATATTTCACATGATGGGCTAGTTATTTATACATAACACATTATGAGAATTCATTTTAGTCGATAGCTTATAAATATTTTTAACGACCAATCATATATTTTATAATGAATGATGAAATTACCTGTTAATGCAAGCAAATGAAAATTAATATATACAACCCACATAAGCCAATCTTTTAAAACTGAAAAATCACATAAAGTTGCCACTGTAGACTTCCCTGTTTCTTCATTTGATTTATAAAACCGTTTAGAATAATGCACAATAACACCGAACGGTACATTTTGTAAAGCTATTCCTGACATCAGAATGAATGCTCCCGACCAAGTATACTGCTCAATGAACATTTCGTAGAACATAGGAACTACAAACTGTCCAATACTTGAACCGAGAGAGAGTATAACAAGATAGGGTCCAGCATTTTCATGGAACATCCGACTTACGGCTATAAAGGCAGCCAGGTAACACATACACATCCCAAGAGCTGAAAATATCGTTTTAAAATAGCAGTTAATTTGCACTTTGAAATCAATATGATAAAAACATCTATTTTAATACAACCGTCATAACATTTTGATATTCAGTTACATTTGTTTTTTTTAATCATAATTACATTGGATAGAAATATTTAATGCTTGCCAGTTAGAAATGTGGTAGTGCGTTTGCAGCTCAAAATGTAATAATTTAATAAACCATGTAATTATGTGAACAAATGCTTCAATTAAGTCGTGTCAAAGACTTTGATTGTTTTCTGAAATGGAAAGAGGCAAAATTTTTATTTCTTCGTTTTGAATTTTTCATTCATTATTCTGTAAATGTCCTCAAAATAAATGCACTAAGCAGTCACAGGAACAAAACTTTTCTTCGTATTAAGAATAAAATGGCGGTTTCCTAACCTGACCCACGCGGGTCAGGTTAGATTTTGAGATTTCACAATAGTTGTCACAGTGAACTCTAGAAACGTTAAAGGACATGTCAAATGAGTGATTTAGACTTGTTTCAATCATACAATATCCACAATATATGTTACTGTAGCTCCCAGATTTTGTGCAAGTTACATGACTTGTTTTAATACAACGCGGTGATTTTGTCGGCGTCTTAATTATGTCCAACAAGTATAGATATATTTACGCTTCAAACGCAAAATATAAAGAATTTATACAGAAATTCATGCTGGGACTTTGAAAAATGTCATTTTAGCGTCATTTGAGTACATAAGATTATTTTCATATTTTGTCAATAATTTGCCTGAGTATCCCTTTAATGCCGAATCTATGTTCTAAAATTACATCTTAAGATCACAATTAAGAATGTGCAATAATATTTTAAACACATTTGATTTCGGAATCAGTAACATTTTACTTACCAGAAAGTACACCGGTACATAAAATTATTGCAGTTAATCCCTTACTGAAAGAACTCAAAAACAGTCCGATACAACCAACAGTTCCACCAATAATCATACTATTTCCAGGTCCTATTTTAGTTATAACTCCGGTAAATAATATCCCTGTAAAATATTTTATTAATTTAAAAAACATATGACATTGTATTTATGCGCTTTATGAAAGTAAAATACAGGTTTGGCTTACATCACACCGAGTCCGTGAAAAATGTAATTGCAGATAAATTTGCTATATCATACATGTAATAATATATGTGAACATTATACAAGTTTTTTTTCTTTATTTTTGGATATGGTTCTGAAATATGTGGCTACACAAAATGTTAGGAAGTAAAAAGAATTAATTAAAAAAATTGCAAACAATCTTTTTTAAATGTAAGACCTATGATGCTCAACTGTAGTTTATCCTCTTTGAAAGTTGAGGCTGTATATTTACACGCGACATACATATCTTGAAGTAATTATGTTGTACGGTGTTCATTGCATGTCATAAAGACGATGAAAATGTGCATAAGTCTAGAAAATAAAAATTGTGTCTGTTTTTTTTTAGATAGATGGATGAACGGATGTTCCGTTTTTGTCGTAATCAATAGTTTATACTTATGTATATAACCTTACCGCCGCCTGTTGCTATAGCCATGAATATACTTTGTATTAGGGCAGTTTCAGATCTCTTTGCTTCAAACACTATGATAAGTTCTGCATACATTACACTCAGTCCGTAGCCTATGCCGGCAAAAATGAGTTGTTGTATTATACATGATACCAAAAGAAACAGTTTCCTTTCTCTGGATGGATTTCGGTGAACTCTGATAAAAAATATAAATGTTACAGGCACTCATTTTTGTTTATCTAGAACCTAGTAAACTCTTAAGATATCATACAAAGAAAAAAAAATTGCAATTACGTTTTTGTTATCTTTTTAACACTAATACATATTCCTTTTAAGTATCAGTTTTTAATGAAAATGAATTCATATAATTCTGCATGCAGAGTGCTCATCTGTATTTGTTTTAAATATAATGCATTTACCCATTATCTCTAAGTTCCTTGTCTACAATTAGATAAGATGTTTCATTCACCAGGGAACTGTCCATTTTCTGCTTCATACCTTCTGTCACCTTAAAATCCTTTTTTGTTGTGTTTCCAAACTGATATATCCGTTTTTATTCCGTTTCAAGTATAATAAGTTAAAAACAATTGTTGAAACAACTGCTTACATGGACACATATTAAGAATATAGTGAATATGTAATTTCCATATGTCATAAAAAAGGATCGCGGTTTACTTTGAAATGTGATGAATTGGCTACATTAAATAATTCCGTTGGTGCTTGAATAACATTTTCATTTTGTTAAATTTTTACTTTATGAAATATGAAGTCTTTAAACTATATATCAAACAATAAGATAATATAATAAGATCATAGTCTGAGTTGGTTCATTGTGATCATTAATTTACATACACCAACGTGACTATGTGTTAATTGTCCATCGTACCATTACGATCAGTCCAAATACATGACGCAAACATTAACATGCCATTTCGTTGCAAGTGTTATTCATTACTCCAAAGGATTAACAGTAGTTCTGAAAAATAAAACTAAAGGCTCTTTTGCTCGTCACAAACAAATTATGTTGTAACATTTTTAACAATAATCTATTTCACGAAATTTAATTTAAATGAAAATACTATATTGCTTATACATATTTAAGGTGAGAAAATAATCATATCACTTTGTATTATTCTGATTGTAATGTAAGCATTTTTAGACAAACATCATAATACTCGTATTCTCTGTGGCAATTAATTCATCGTCTACTTTGAATCAATCTCAATTGTTGTGGTGTGTAGGAATTGTTAAACATTGCGTCGTGGATGTGAAAATTGCTGCCATCCGTCCTTTTATGATCTTTTTGTCAAAATTAACCTATACAATGTATTTGGATATCACAATCATATTTAGAACTGCTTTAAACGAGTGCGTCCTTAGTATGTATGTACTTATGCGCATTAATTTATATATACGAAGATCACATAGCTATAACTTTATTGTGAACAATAATCCGTTTTACATTAATTCTATAAATAGTTAACGTAACAGTTTATGTGCTATGTGTAATGCAAATTAGATTTAATTCTTTAATGCAATTGCGTGTTGTCGAACTACCCTTGGCACTAAACAATCAAGTTCATTTAAGGAATATGGTTTAATTTGCAGCTGACATATTATTGCATTCACTTTACAAGAACGTAAGTTATAGTTCAGACAATTTATGATGCTCAATTTAAACTCGAAAATATACGATTTCATTTGACAAGTTATATTAATTTATACTTCACAAAGATTTATAAATTTACTGACCTACTTAATTGCACACTTTTTAACGACAGTACCTAACAGCTGTTATACTTCTTTTGTTATTGGGTTAGTTGACTGTTAAAATCTAGTGTGTCACTCAACTGAAAGTGTTGCTGTATGTGTCCCTGTCAACTAACAAAAAAGCACCACATAATGTCTCTCTCTATAATATTCATAAAATGTTGTTGGCTTGCCGTCAAGATTTTAAACCTTCCCTTTTATTTATTTTTTCATTATGTTGTCACGTTCACTATCCCCGATCTTCAATTTACATTAGTAAAAAATAATAAGTTATTTCCTAATCTATTTAAGAAACAAGCGGGCCATTTATACTTAAATGTCATCAACCTGTACGTGATATGTATTACACAACAGAAGACAGGCGATTTCGTTAAAAGCATTGTGTGAAATGTATGGAAAATGAAGTTATTAATCAAATGATCTGTCAAATTAATTCGACATTATGACTGAACAACTTCTATTGCTTTCTTCACACGACATAACCCAACATAATAATTGCATCTTTTAATGTCTATATCATATCTTATTTTAAAATGTATTTACCTATATATAGCCAACACATGTTCTGAAAAAATAATTTAACCCTTTACCTTTACCTTTTCATTGCCATCCACCTTACGTACGTGTTGTATTTGAATACTTCAACTGAGGTATTTCTTATCATTTATGTGACTAATTAAAATTGTGTATATTCAAACTCAAGAAAAGGGAATGCTTAAACGGTTGTCTCAGCACTGTTTCATTTTAAGTCACAAAAATTCGTTTCGTGAGTAGTACATTCATAACTGGACCTTAAAAACTTGTTTGCAAAGTTATCTTTGTTACGTGAAATGATATCTATTTTGTATATTTTAGTTAATTGTTGTTTTTGTGCTGTCGCTAGAGGCTCAACAGGGATTCGCACATTCTAATTGGTATGTATTAGCGTTGTTATGATTGAGTGCGCATCTATATTCATAACTATTAGTACAACCTCTGACAACTGTAAGAGAGAAAAAATTCTTAGGAATAGCTGTCTATGGCGGTGTTATTTCGATCCGATTCTGATGGACAAAGCTTGAATCCAAGCCACGGCGGGATATTTTTTGATGCGTTAGCATTTTCCTGTTACGAGCTACTTGTATAATAATCGTAAGATTATTTTGGATCGGAACTTTGCAAAGAATATTGGCAAACAAAGAAATGGCGGCAGTAGTTGAATAAATTGAAATCAATTCTTTATGCTTAATGTTCAATGGAAGTCAGTCGCGACTGTTCCTTATTACAATGCCAATATAAATAATGCTACCATTGATTGAATTCATGTTTCCACCACTGCACTGGTCGTATCTTCCGCTTATTGCAGGATTTATTCTTTCAGTGATTTATTGCTGTCTGCATCAGCTGCAATCCGGAAAAAATCACGCGTTGAAAAATTTCGGAGAAAAGTTATTTTAAAGTCAGACGGATGACAAACGCTGACTCGCTATAATTGAAACGGCATGTTTTACTTATTATTGTGGCCATATAAATATAAAATGCTTTATTGAGACATATAAGCATTTTTTTGTCTTCAACTTATCATTATTATTGATCGACAAAACACTTATAAAACGAAATGATAAAGATACAAATGCTAAAGTAATATTTAACTAATAAGAACAAATATGTGATCATGAATTGAAGATAACAAACTTTTGCAATTATATTGTTTATTCTTGTAATTGAACTGGGAGTAATTTAAGTTTAATGGCACCTGGGACTTGTCATGGAGATTATAAGATTTAGTTGTTTGTTATAATTTAAGGCAATCATCTTTTTAAAATAATAATAAAAAAGCAAAGTAGAAAACAATATATATTTTATATATTATAAAAACATTATCAATTCTTACATAGATAAAATATCAAACAATGGACGTATCCGTATATTTCGACAAGGTAGACATTGCATAAAGGTGTACAAATGTATATGTCATTCTATGAGCAGATTTAAAATAAATGAATGTATAACTAGTATCTTAAAATAGTAATATAACAACAAGCGGCAAAATTAACAAACCTTCAGCTAGATTTATTCTACAACGTTATTATTCTTTAAAGTATCATTTTGATATGTTTTCTCTTCAATTCTTTTAAGAAAGATTCTACATCGTTTATTACTTATTTCAATATGAAATATTTAATTCGATTCTGTCATGTAATTTGTTAATAGGAAACATGTCATGGATGGCGTTTACTTAATCAAAATTATTTTGTGGCAACTTTCAATAAATTTGTATAGCCACATCAAATTTACGCATGCCTTTCGGTAGCAAGTCAAACATCTTTTGACGAGCTAGATAATCACCTAGCTAACACCGATGAAATTATTTTTGAGATCAGTATAAATATTAGGCCAAACAGACCTGTAGACTAGACGTTAAGGATCATTTGCAACACAATATCTTGCATGCGGCATATAATAATACGACAAGATCATAAGCAACACGTACTATCTAACTTAACAAATAAACTTGCTAAATAATGTAAATACACAATATTACATATAAGTGTGATGACATTAGCGACACCAGAAACACTATGAAAAAGTCTAAATGTTCTGTAATGTTTTGCGTACTTTGGATCTTTCTTCAGCTCTGTTTTATCACAATATCCGACAACATAGGCAACACCTGAAGATTTTTCTATTTCAAAAACACTTATCATGGCTTCAACGATCCTTGGGGCAATGTAAAAACTGTTGACGAATGTTGATACTACACATATGCATAGTCCCAGCAACTGAAACATAGAATTATAATGATGATTATCAATTCACATAGATGTTTATATAGCTGCAAAAGAAATTCTAAAAATACAAGAATACCGCTTGGTATAATGTGAAGAAAATATGTTTAGATATAGCAAAAAATTATATTTATGTAAAGCAGATGTCAGGAAACCTTATTGCTGATATAACGTTGTTGTTTACATATTAAAAAATATCCCGATCGCATTTGAGTGCTAAACAAATTAACATCACATAGATTACTACGTTACAGTATGTCATGTAATGCAATGTCACTACAAGTGTTCTTTTCTTTAATCAACATATTTATCTAATTTTTGATATTTCTAATAAAGCCGTATTTACAATAAGTATTTTTATATATAATTAAACTATTGTTAACACTAAACATGCCATCTATATGCTTTGTCTGCGTTAAGCTATATAAGCAAAATGCCTTCTTTAAGAATGTTAATAAGCCAATGGTCAAAAATTGACTCTGAAATTATTCAATTTTCAATTGATTTTCCTAATGTTTACCTGTTTCGATTCTGATGACGATAAAGTAGAAAACGGATGTCGTACAACAAATGTTAGCAGAGTGATGCATGAAAGAATCAAGGTTGTTGTGAAGTACAGAGGAAACATTCTACTCTGTAAATGCCCGAACATAATTCTTGGTAGACTGAAAAACATCGCGAATCCTGGAATAAAAGATTGAAAAATAACATAAAAACTACTGATAGCATAAACAACCTTTTATAACGAGATACCGATGCAATTTGCTTTCTGTTAGTAATGAGCACAAAATACACATATAAAATGATAGTATAAAGTGTATTATCTGTAAGCAATTGATATTAGTTGTATTAATAAAACATTTTCAAAAACAAAACAAAAATATCGACACTAAATAACTGCTAAAAAGCGAGTTTGTCATATGCTTCCGTTGTCGTATGTTTCCGTTGCTCAAATATACATCAATCTTTACGTTTCAAAATTCTAAATTGGTTTATAATGGACGAGAAATAAATTATAATGTTTTTATTTGTTAAATAAAAGATAACAATAAACTACCTGCTACAAATGTGACCCAGCATTGTGCCCCGAAATGTGCGGCAAATGAAAGTAGATGTAGAAATGCGATATGTGAAGACTTGTTTGCTGATGATTTAGTTGCCCCAGTTACGATGGCTGCTATTAGTACCACAATCGATAGCAATGAACAGTAGCGTCCAAACTTCGAGCTATATGAAATTATAAGATATATGTTAACATAAAATATATTGATTTAGAAACATTCATAGCGGTACATTCATATTTTAAAGCTACCAAATAAATCATTAAAAATGAAGAGATAAAATTAAATTAAATTAAAAAATAAACAAAAAACCAAAACAGCAAAAACATAAAAATAACCATACAAACGCACACAAAAACACGCACACACAAACAAAAACAACCAACAAATAAATAATAAATAAAGAAAATGAATGAATAAATAGAAAAAAAGACAAAAACATACAATATTATATTGTTTAACTTCATCGTAGATTAAAAGAAACGCAATAAAAAGGGATACGGCATCATTTCCTCGAAGAGGAAGGAAAAAACATTCAGAAAATAATGATATAAAACAACAAAATAAATATGATTACTTTCGATTAAAACTTGATTTTAACTTAAACTTCATCATTGGTAAAAGCCACTTTTAACAACATAAAAACAAATGCATTCTTACATACCATGATGATTTTGTAACACAAACGCTCTGTTCTAGATGTGCCGCTATTTTATGTCCCATATCAATAAACGATAGTATTATATCCCGATAAAATAACTAAAATTACAATGATAATTAAAAGAAATGTATGATATTATAAACACCGAACTTGAAAGTTCTATTTAATTTAACTTTTTAATTATATAACAGTCTCTTTTCAGTGAACGTAAAGTATGAACTGTTTGAACTCGCTAGAGAGAATATGCCGATATATTGCAACGCGAGTACTTATATACTCTCGCTTCGGAATACGACGAACGCAAATATATCTATATTTAGTACAATCTTTTCATGCGTAAGATCGAAATGTCAAGTAACGCAGCTGTTCACCTTTTGATATCGGACTTAATTGTAACCTCTCGTCGCGTGGCTGATATCACGTACAGTTACGTTTCTCTTAGTTATATTTAATTAAAGAAATGAAATTAACGGAAAGTACAGTTCTAATCATATTATAGATCATACCTTATGATAATATAACTACTTACGTCTCTTGATTAATTTTCTAAATATCGAGGTTTTGATGTGCAAAAATGACAAAGTGTTTCCATAAAAAGACGAATACCATAATAAGACGAATACTAAAAGTTTGTGCGTGCTTGAGTTTACGACTTAAACATATTCTTTATATAATAGTAATAATATATATTTAAGAATATTTTTAGTGGTTTATTTATTTAAACAGATCATAAAAGGATATGTGTTTAGACGCATTTGCCTTTAAAACGCTATAATTAACTAAGCAAATTGATTTAATGAAAGGCGTCTGAAAAAAACATTAATTTGCTGTAAAAAAAGAAAAGAAACATCGGCGTAAAACCATTCGGACACTACACGCCGCGATGTTCTCAATTGCTAAGTAATACCATAACATTAAAATGTAGTTAAAGCCATTAATATATCTTAAACAAATGAAATATATACCACAGCAAACAAACATGTATTACCGTTTTAAAATATGTACAGTAGTTGCATGATACTGCACAGCCATCCGCAACATATACATGTTCACTATTTCATTGACATTATAATAGAAGTAACACATGTGCAAGGAGTGGGCGAAAGGAAATGATGTATGTGGTTTTTAGGAGAGTTTTGTGCTAATGATGGGAACAGGCAAAGGAATGCAATTGGCATTCTAGATGAGCCAATATATGTCAAGTAAACCAAACTTGAATTGCGCACTAAGATTTCAACAAAAGTAAACAGAGTCAAGATTCAAATAATCTTATACATGTTTGTGCAGTAGTTATAACCATATATCTACTGTGTGATTAACGCAGTAATGGGTTTATTAATTTTACAAAAGACCGATGGTAACAATTCAACTTCATGACATTCCGATTTCATCTACGTTATTTCACAGTAAGTTGTAACTTCGTGAATTTACTTCACAAAAATACACCAATTTCTTTAAAATTTTAATAAGAATAAGCATGAATCTGTGATCACGTTGTCATATATACTAATTACAGACGATTTGTATTTTTGTGACACACTCCAAATTTATATTGTAATAAGCTGTGTTAACATGGTAAAAAAAATCCGTGAGAATAAGTTTACAATAGAAACGAACACTTTGTACAAAATGCTGATACAGGTATTCCAGTTACAAATTATTATCAAAATAAATTTAATGTAAAATTCTTAACATCGTTACTTTACACACAAAATATGTACATATAATCTTTTTAATGAGCATCGGCTGAGATAAGCGTTAACAAAGATAGAGAAAACACATATCATAAAACAAATTATCACTTGATAATGTATGCTTGGCGGGCATTTACACTTGATGAGGGATGACAAAAAAGGAATTCGTATTAACAAAAACAAAAAAAACAACAAACCCCCCCCCCCCCAAAAAAAAACCGATTCGTTACATTTGACATGATTGTTTTCAACTGTTATGTCCCTTAATTTTCCCAAATATGTGAACTGCGAGTTAGACTGATGAGCACAAAACACAACAGCACTAGACAAAACCAAGTCTTGCAGGACCACCCTGATGAGCACCTAACAAAGTCATTTGTAAGACAGGGCAGAGTGTGAATGATTAAAATTAATTACATAATATTGTCTTACACTATTAGTTTATTATTTACATTCACAATTTGTATTAATTACAGGAATTTTGTTTACTTAAAATACGTTTGCAGTACTATTTGTTTTTTTAAAACAATATTAAAAATAATGCATTTGCATGCCAACTGCAACTTTTATATTATATTGTAGTTTTTATAACTTCCGGGGGACATCTTCTCCTCCAGATTTTGTAATTGTTTCAATGTCAAGATGATAAAACAAATATCAGCATAAATGTATTTGGTTACGTTTCGGTTGTGTCATTTCCCATGTGTAAAAGTCAAAAGGAAACCACATAACGTTTAACAACACTTTCAATATTGCCGTTTTGGGAGTTATGAAGTGACACTGTTTTTTTCTATCTTAATATGTGACAGTTTAATAGGTTTGACAATGGTTAAGCAGTGTATATATTGTGTATTGTCATCCATATCATAAATATGATATTTTGTCGTATGGAAGGATGTGGTCACATTTAATAGGCATTTCCTTGCGAATTTTATGTTTTGCATAATTCACTGAAAAGTTTAACTGAAACTTTGTCTAAAACAATTAGTGTTAGATATATAATTATACTTTTTTTATTTGCTTTGTTCGCGTTTACCATAAATTTAATTCTGATTTAATTCACCGGGAATTTATTTATCTTGTTGTTATATCTCTTGCTGTTACTTTTGTACGTTTGAGTACCTAATATATTTACTTTAACGTCATAGTAGGATTGTCTAGCAAAAAAAAGACAGTAGCACTGATTGTCGCGATAGAAGCTTTCCTTCGTCATTTTGAAATTGACTTCCTTGATAAAGTAGATACAGCGGCCAAATGAATTGAAATCAATATTGATCTACGTGTGTTGTGCGTATTCGTCTGTTGTTTTTTTTTCTGTTGAGATGTAAACGTATTGTTTACATAGCTGTTGCGCATAATTTAACATTATTTTTATCATGAAAAGAAGGTGATGTATAAACAAATACATAACAAATTATCGTATTGTACAACTGTTTGAAATGTCTAATTGTAGCATTTCTTTTATTTCTTGTATTTTCGTTATTAAAATTCTAACTTATAAGTATAAAGATACAGTGAAAAAAGGATCCTTCAAGCTCTACCCAATTAGAAATAAATGATTGAATGAAACAATAAGAATAAAGTAATTCGGTTGAAAAACTTAAAATATAGTCAATGTTTATTCTAACAATGCTTAATATACTTGCTATTATCGTTCATATTGTAAAATATGTCCGTTCAATATAGTAAAGTGTACTTTTACGTAGTGTTGCAACAAACACGACTTAATATGATATTTAAACACAAGTGTTGAAAATTGAGTACCACTCAAGTCGGTGCTAGGGGGCCTGACGGATGTTGCTTTTACATAATCTGTCATCTATGAGACTAAGTCAAACTGAGTCTGCAATTTTCATATAATTTTGTTATGATCAACGTTTCAGAGTGATCACTCTAATTCAGGATTTTTTAGCAGATTACAAACGGTTATACAAATAAGTGATGTTGTTTCTTCATTCACCTTCTGTGAAACCACCTCCGTGGTCGAGGGGTTAGAGTCGATGACTTCTTATCCAGTTACCTCTCTGGCGTGGGTTCGATCCCCGGGAGATGCTTTGGTAGTTTAGCACGGAGGAAGGTAGTCTAGAACTGGTGTAACTCTCCGGAAACTACCAGCCTATATCATGTATATGACTGAAATACTGTTGGGAAAAGGCGTAAAATAAAACAAACAAACAAACAAACAAAAACCTTCTGTGAAATGAGTTCATATCTGAGTAATACAATAAAATTACCATATATCTAAAAGCTCTTATATGTTTGAATGTCCGTTTTATTTAATTAAAGGACAATGACAATTATTGTTTGACATAGAAAGCGTATTTCGTGAAGTGTTGAAAGATATCATAACAATATTGCGAAGTCAGTGATTTTATTTGCTCTTTTTCGTTTTTTAAATAATTTTATACAAGTAGAAAGGAAATTGATGTTTGGAATTCTCCGAAACATCAATTTATCCATTATAAAACATAATCTGCAGAAAACAGAATTAACTTCACAACACTGGCTGCATAATTATTACTGTTTACAGGCGTCAACAATTCAGTATTCTAGTTAAATGTATAATGTCCAATGATATGTTACTGGTTCAGATGTTATTCAAGATGAAAGTAGTAACTATCTTTACGTTTTAATGCTATACGAAAAATGCTTGATCTTAAAACAATACAGACATATTATCTAGATAAGTTTCCCTACCATATAGTACACAGTCATGTATTTTATTTAGAACATTCTTGTTTAACATATAGACAATCCTTGAGTATTTTACGTGATCATATTCTCAATCAAGTGTAAACAAACACAATTCATTATTCACACTTACACTAGCCATACCTTGAAGGAAGTATCGACCTGTTATAAAGATATTGTGAAATGATACAGCAAAAAAGTGACTTGATCTATAGATGGAATAAATCACGTAAATAACGAATGGCTAGACATTGAATATTGTCTAAACATAATTTGTTTTTATGGCAATAGGTATTGTAAAATACATTATTTTTTACATTTGTCGTTACAGTAAAAGTTTTTTTTAATGTACACGTTATTTTCGCTATTGATAACATAAATGCTGTTTCCAAATGAATTAAAATCGATGCTCACCTACGTATGAGGTGGAACTATTTTCGCCCTGGGTGTTATTTGTTTATCTAGTTTCTTTTATATTATAGACAAAGAAACAAGCGGTTTGGCATGTATTCACTAACAAAATAGAACATATTACATTGCATTGTAATGACCGATTAACGAACCTTTACCACAATTATTTATTTATTTATTTATTTATTCAATTTTATTGTAAATTTGTAAGGACTTAATTTCTTTCGCAAAGTATATTTTGAATATTACTTTAGACCTAAGTTGATTTTCTGGTTAGCAAACTTGATGAAAATGACGTAAAAATGCTTATCGATTTGTACGTACTCGTAAACATGGAAATACGATCGAAAGCATTTTTATCAGCAATAGAATATGGTCAATGTAGCATGCTGATGAATTCGTTTTTACGAAATATTAATTCTTAATTACGAAATATTAATTAGGAAAAAAA